TTGCGAAGCGAACATACCCCAAATTTGCATTGTGATTGGCGAATGAATGTATTCGCTAAAATATGTCGTTGCCATTCAAGAAAAAAGTAGCGCGTTCATCCGAATTTGACATTTGTGTCATTTATACTTAAAAATATTTATTATTATATCAACTGAAATTCGAAAATATGTTTAATATCGCCGTACTGTATTTTGAGGATAATTACGATGTGGAAACGCGAACTAATCTTCTTCGACAGCGCCGTTTTATTAGATATAATTCTAATCCTACAGAGCTACCTAACACGGTGTATGTATCCAGTTCAATTATAACGAATAATAAGAAGTTATTGTTCAATGTACACTTATTTGTAGATTCGTTGCGAATTTCCGCTTAAACAAGGACGCATTTATGTATGTGCTGGATAAATTCAAAGACGATGTTAAAATTGTATGCCGCGCTCAGATTTTTTGCACATGGYAGTTACCAATAAGCTATAGGGAATGAATTTTAGTAGGGACTTGCTCAGCCAACAGTTTCCCTTATTTTAAAAGAGATCATACCCATTTTGGAAAATGAAATTTGTCGTACCCATATAAGCGTAGATATGAGTGAAGAAGAAAAGCAGCAGGCAAGGAGCAAATTTTATTCAAGATCGGGAATACCATATGTAATAGGCTGCATCGATGGAACCCATACTGCGATTTATGCTCCTACCACAAGCAAACACCTCTATCTAAACAGAAAAGGATTTTTTAGCATAAATGCAATGATTGTGAGTTTTTATGAATTTAATACAGTAAAATTGGTATAMAAATTTTATTGTATTTTTATTACAAATTAATTAAATTAATTAAATTTTTACCTTATTCCACTGGCGCCCGTTTCGCAATGGTGGACCAATGGCATTGAGTTCGGCAGCGAACAGGTCCCATTGGTCTGCCCTGCTTTTCTTTGTCGATCCAAAATTCCCCATTCCTCTGGCGACGTCCGGATTATTTTCYATTAAARCAACCAATTTTTGGAATTACTGCGTTGTTGTACATTTTGTTCTAGAAGTATCGTTTTGTTAAATATAATTAAATAATTACAATTGCTGAAATAAAGATCAAAATTTACTTACGTCCTTTCCAWTTCAAATAGCGAGTAAAAAATACATTCGTTAAATTTTGWYAGTAATGGCGAAGCGAATGCCGTTTTTTGGCCAGCGGCAATACCAGAAATTTATTTTCGTCACTCGTTCGCCATTTTCTGGCGACTTCGTTAGAGATTCGCAACTTACAATTCGCATCGCAAGTGACAATACCCGCCTAAATTGGTTCATAATTTGCTGATAAATTTAAAGTTAAATTTTAAAGTGGGCTGGGAAATATTACCATTGCTACCTGAACCCAGGGTTATAACGGTTGAAGTTCCGTGTATGAAATACCAAATGAAATGCGATTTAAAAATATGAATTTCTGCTACAAGGAGAACATCGAAACCAAATATGATAAAATCAWGCCTTTTCTCCTTTACATATCTTCAGTTATTTGACATCAATACCGAAAGAAAGCTTAAGGCGTCACTGATGCTGCATCTCCATGAAATGTGTGTGCTATAATTTCCGAATACAAATGTTTTTATTCTTTGGGTTTATACATTTATGTTTAATAAGTGAAATATATTATAATTAGTATTCATGAAAATAGTGTAAATATTCGTCATGAGCACCTAAATTTGAGGAATATTTCAAAAGACGTGTTAGAAATGGATGACTATTAGTGAGTTGAACTATTTAAACCAAAAAAACAAAATTTTATTTACATATGTACTATATGTACATAAAGGAGTTTCATCAAAAATTGTCGGATCAACAAAAGAGCATTTATATACATTTTGAGAGAATGCATGCGAAAATATCTTGGGGGAAATGACAAAAGACATCGTTCTCTCAACATTGTATTAGAAAGATCTTCAATATAAATATGGCCCAATCGACATTTTGTGCTGTATTATATGAAGTACTCAACATTTTTGAGTACAGGCTATGTTCAAGGTGGATTTCCATTAACATGACTGTCAGCGAAGAACTGGAAGCAAAAACATATGTTTTTCAAAATTCAAAAATTCCTGGTGTGGCAATGGTAGTTGATGGAACTCACGTAAAGATAATGGCGTTGTATTTTAACCGCAAATCTTGCTAAAGGCCGAATTGTTATTGAGAAACAATAGGTTTATTAAAATCGGTATTTCGTTGTTTTTGTAGTGAACGAGGACTACATTACGCAATTTATGCTGCGAATTGCATAATATTCGTTTGTATTTTAATTAAAATATACTCGTATAACTACCGATGCAGCGAATAGAATTAGAGCTAGTTTTGTAATTTTTTTTTTAAATAAAAGTTCATATTACAATTATTTAAATAAACATAAAAATTCATGAAATGAATTAGTAGAAATTACAATAAAAACTTATGGCTTATTTGTATGTTGTAGCTCAAGTTCTAAAATTTGTTTTTTGGTTTCTAATTTATGAATATCTTTTCCATCACAGCTTATGTCGCTTTATTTTCTTAAAATTATTTCAATTTCATAGAGTTTTCTAATCCATCTGTTTGTTTCAGACAGTTCTTGTGCACGTAACAGAGCTAGTTTCATAACTTTAGAAACATTGTCCTCCATCTGTTTTTGGATATTTATTTGCTCTTCAAGTAGACCCATTTTTTTTTTCTGCTTTTGTGCGGTGTACAGTGGGTCAGGTAGTCAGTATCTCCATTTGCTGGTCAGACGACAAAAATGATATTTCGTTTTGCATATGTGCCTGTGAAGAAATGTCGTCAATTGGTCTTTTCTTACTTGTTTGTTGATGTTCCAAAACTTTGTATACCTTTCAATCCCTTTACTGATGTACAACAGGGAGTGCTTTTATTTTATACTTTTTCCATCCAGTCTTGTTCTTGACWGGAGAGCTCATTGCGTTTAACTTTTCTGAAGTGTCTTCCCAAAAAGCATTTATWTCCGCTGGTGTTCTTTGATAAAATCCTTTAGCTATGTCTTATATCCATTCATTATATCCACTAGTACTTCAAATTGGTTTTTGTTGGCGTGTTTTTGTTTCTTGTCTCTAAATCGCACATTTAAATCATAATTCAATGCGGTCTCTGTTATTTTTTTAAATAAATACTTACAAATGCTCCATTTTAGTCAATTTACATCAGCGGATAGATTTTGCGGTTTCAATGATTTCGAAATTAGCGCCATCTATTAGCCACGGAATGTATTTCATCGAGTCGGCAATTATGTTCAACTGCATCGAAAACTTAATTTTCGATACGGTTTCAATGATTTCAACGTAATAATTTTCGATCGAATTGTGAAGTTTTCCGATCGAAACGAATTCAATAATGAGAAATATTTTTTTAAATTTATATAAATGGCCTACATTCCACACCATAGCGAATAGCTGAACTACTATTTCTATTTAGTTATTCTACAGTGCCATATTTTGCGTGAAACTCGAATTTGTATGTTATTAAATTTTGGAAAGGAGTCATCTTTAGCAATTTAGTAACACTTTTTTAAGTATTCTGCTTTGGATCTTGGTGATTAACGACCTACTTAAAGAACTCGAGGAACGAGGCATTCGGGTGAATATCTACGATAGTTCTTATGTTTCAATGAAAATTTCTAAATTCCGTCTATGATGCATTCAAAGGGTACCTCAAAGTGATATCGCAATATAAGAGGTTTAGCCGTCAACCAAAGTAAGCGTCTCTTCTCTTTCGGAGGATAACTTCAACATGTTGATATATTGAAATACCTAGTGCTTTTACGTAATAGAAAGCTTTAATGGATGCCAAATATTGAGCAGAGAGTAATTAACCGATGCCACCTCATATTACTWAAGAGGAGCTATAAGGAAAACGTGGGGACTCATTAAAGATGGCGTTTCGGCTCTACGAAACCATAGTGAAGCCAATAATGTTCTATGGTGTATTCGTCTGGTGAAGTGTGCTCGAAAATGCTATACTTGCTAAGAAGCCTTGATGTTTCTTATGTGCGTGTCTCACCGTGACTAACACCAGCAATACCTTCAGGGAGGTGATCATTTTTTTCAACAGCAGAGCAGAGCATTTATCCAACAGAATACTAACGTTGAGGCCGTTAGTAGGTACCTGGTCATAGCGTAATTGCTGACAACTGCAAAGCCGATAGGCTAGCCAGAGAAGACAACCTTTCCCCATTGACATGGACCAATGGACCTCGCGTGCGTTTAGCAGCGCATATCGCCTTTAAGTTCCTGTGCGATTGCGAGTTCCTTGTGGTCTAGAGTAAAGCAAAAGAGATCTATTGAACTACTTACTCTTAGAAAAGTTCATTTTGCCGAATTTGTAGAGGTTCTTATAGGACATTGTCGAATCGGCACTCATGTGGTAAGGTTAAAAATCTTTCGAACCTTAGTTGTCAAAGGAACTTTCTCCTCCATTGCCCCGTCTTTACAACACTAATGTTGAAACATCTCGGTAATCTTAATTTCAACGAACCAATAGACATAGCGGAAACTGGCAGTGGCCGTTTCAACAATTTATTATATCTATTATATAAAAGTCTATCTGATCTATTATATAAGAGTTTTAGGTACCTCAAAGGATCAGCGTTCTAAGTTGGCTAAGTGAGATCCCTGTTAAGATCGATATCTTAACCTAACCTAAATTCTCCATTATAACTTTTTGCAGTACTATTATCTTGCCTTTTATGATTTCTTCAATTTCAAAAGTTAATTTAGTTAGACACAAATACCATTTCTAGGTGCTTTGCAAAGCAAACTGCAAATTCATTTCGAGCATAATTACCACTCAACTTTCAGTATGGGCATGTTGATATCTACTCAGGGCTTAACGTCTTTTTAGACTTTTTAAGGGATTTGTGGTTGTTTGCCCTTTTTTATTTTTCGTTCAGCAACCTTCAATTGGATCTGAGTACAAAGAGAGCCGATAGAATGAAAATTATTTAAATTTTTTATTCTAATCCTGCAGGGAATCGGTGGTCAGTTTAATTATTGGGGATTATGGATTGATAGTGACTATGGAATAGGACAAAGTAGCGAATCTTGTACAACCTATCGTGACTACGTCCAGCTTAGCAAGCGTAAAGATTATAAAATACGCAATATAGAAGTTTGGGGAATTGGTGACGAACCTAAAGATGAAGACTCTGAAGAAGGCGATGTAAGTGTATTAGTATTTGTCATTGATTTACTAATTTCCTTATATTTCTTCTATACATACATATATTTATATTTAGCGAGAGAATACAAAATTTAGTAGAAATGTGCTATAACGCTGTTTCTAATAAATAAATTAATTATTCCAGGGCGGTGTAAACAATTCGATTTTGGATAAAAATTTAGAGGACAAAGTTATGCTTCAGTTGGCTGGAAAAGAAATGCATTCGGAGGGCTTGCGTGAACCGGACATGGATTTGTGAATATACATATATTGACTTAGGATTAAGCTGAAGCTAAAATTAATTTATTTACAATTCTTTGTAAGGACTTTACACCAATTAAAAATGCTTTCATAAAATCTGTCATATTAATGAACTACGAATGAAATAATAATATGAGTAATTGATATAGAAAAATTTGTTGCGAAGCTTAAAATCTAGGGTTGTTTGGAAATATTTTCATTCATTTTGTTGTGTTCTATATTCACAAGTTATATAAAAATACATACGCATTATATATATGTGGCAGCACCGCCACTCATTTCGGAGTTAATTATAATTATATTAAGCGTGGTAACTTTACCTGCTACTTTGACATTTCGCTATGTATGATTTTCTTTTCCTTTTATGTCAAATGAAATGCGAAGATCGCTCTCTTTCTTTTTGGAAATTCGTCGTAGAAGGACGTGCCCATACGAATGCTCCACATTGATGACCCCGCACATTTTTACTTTTTAATTACTATTTTTCAAAATTTTTTATTATGAGTCTCGACGAAAGTCAATTGGTTTCTGAAGGATTGAACATCTTAGAAAATGCTACAACACAGCATTTTGTATCACGACTGCCGTTGCCCCAGATGCGAGAGGATAATATTGAGGCATATTTTTATTCTTTAAATTGTTGGTTTGATGCAACGGGCATCGTCGCTGACATAAAAAAGTTTAATATCGTTTTGGCAAGCGTTCCACCTTCAAAGCTAATGGAACTGCGTACCATAGTTGGAAAATTTTACGGACAGCCAGCARCAACGCCTGCAGCGTGTAATTCGCGAGATGAGCATACTTCACGACTTATGGATCACTCGGTTACCTACATATACGCAAGCGGCAATCATTGCTACAAATGTGCCAATMGTCGAAAAGTTGAAGATCGCCGATTCCTTCACGGAGTCCATTTAATTGAGACTGCAGGGAATTGTGCACCGTACAACAATCTACCGACCAAGATCTGAGAGCCGAAATAGCAGCACTCAAACAACGACTCGACCAAGTATTAAGCGACCACGGACATCGGTTTCCGCCTAGATCTAGATCTAGGACTCCGGCAGGTATCCGTAACTCACACAACAGCTCCAACGAAATGTGCTGGTATCCCGAGAAATTTGGTTGTAACGCCCGTAAATGCAAACAGCCGTGTAAAATGGCTCATCCGCAGCCACCAACCGACTCAAATTAGCCCTGCTCAGCCAACTGTTTTTCAGAATCAGGCAAACGTTCTGAAAAACTTACGAACGAAACTTACTTCCTTATCGACTCCGGCGCAGAGGTGTCGACAATACCGAAGTGTTCAAGCTTGGCTGAAGTATCTAAATTGGATACCAAATTGTTTGCTGCTAACGCTTCACCAATTCAAGTGTTTGGTGAAGTCCTACTTAAATTGAATCTAAACTTATCTAGAGAGTTCGTGTGGAAGTTCGTAATTGCCGACGTTTCTCAGGCGATTATAGGCTCAGACTTTTTATCATTTTTCGATCTACTACCAGATCTCAACCGACATCGACTACTTGACCGCCGCACCGCGTTAAAAACAATGTGCTCGATAAAGTCAATTAATACACCGAATATATCAACTATCAACGTAGATAGGCAATTTTCCAAATATACCAAAATAACTCATCAACCTCCTCTAGAAGTTTCAACAAAATCTACAGTTGTCCACCGGATCATTACGTCCGGACAACAGGTATTTAGCAGACCAAGGCGGTTATCAAATGAGAAGCATGCTGCAGCACGTGCTGAATTCGAGCTCTTAATGAAACTTCGCATATTTCGGCCGTCTAGTAGCGACTGGGCGAGCCCCCTACATATGGTCCGCGAAGCAGATGGTTCTTGGATACCGTGTGGTGATTACCGTGCCTTGAATGCTGTCACTGTACCGGGCAGGTACCCAATTCCGTTTCTCCACGACTTCACGCACATATTATCAGGCAAAACATTTTTTTCAAAAATCGACCTACAGAGAGCTTTTCRCCAAATCCGTGTACATGAAGGAGATGTATGCAAAACGGCCATTACAACCCCTTTCGGACTGTACGAGTTCACTCACATAACCTTGGTTTATGCAACGCCGCACAGATATTTCAAAGGGTTATCCATGATGTCCTTCGCGGAGTAAATAATACTTTCGTCTACTTGGATGACATCTGCATAGCTTCTGCCTCGACGGAAGCGCACCGTAAAGACCTTGAAAACGTATTTCAACGATTGCGAGATCACAATTTGACAATAAACATCACAAAGTCGATACCCGGAGTACCGGAACTCGAATTCCTTGGGCATCTTATCACCCAAGACGGCATACAACCATTGCCAAATCGTGTCAAGACTATTACAGATCTTAAACTTCCAACTACTGCGAAAGACCTAAAGAGGTTCCTCGATATGTTAAATCTTTATAGACCTTTTTTGAAAAACCCTCTTCTACATCAAGCACCATTATTCAACATGACTCCGGGTAACAAGCGCAATGATCACTCACCTCTCATATGGACCAAAGAAAATATAAAACATTACGAAGCCTGTAAGGAGGACCTCGCTAAATGTTTCCGCTGCTAGCACATCCCACTTTCATTGTGGATTGACGCATCCGACTATGCAGCCGGTGCAGCACTACAACAAGTAGTTAACAACACGCTCCAACCGCTGGGTTTCTTCCAGCGAAAATTTACAAAAGCAGAACAGCAATACAGTGCTTACGACAGGGAGCTCACAGCTATGTATCTCGCTATCCGACATTTCCGTTTTATGCTTGAAGAACGAGATTGCCACGTCTACACAGACCACTAACCTCTCACATTCGCATTTCATCTAAGTCTAGAAAAAGCTTCGGACCGTCAAGCGCGACAACTAGACTTTATCGCTGAAATCACCACAGACATCCGTCACGTGTCTGGTCAGCAAAATRTTGTTGGTCAAATGTTGGTCTCGCATTGAAGCAATACTCTCGGAAACAACTTTTTAATCAATTAACTACGACGACTTAACCACAGATCAAGCGACAGACGAAGAGGATTGGAGAATCCTATCTTAATGGGAAAGTGAAGCATTCATTGAAACTAATTTCGTACGCTCTTCCTTCCAGCACAAAAAAGGTGTACTGTGATATTTCACCACCAAACGATTCCGCCAAGAAGTACTTCGGACAATCCACAACATTTCGCACCCCGGTTCACGTACAACATCAAAGATGATGAGCGAACGTTTCACCCGGCCCGGAATCCATCGCAAACATTGCCCACGCTGTCAACGTAATAAGGTCACCAGACACAACGTCACTCCTCTGCAACGCCGAACATGCGTTAGCGAACGCTTCGCCCATTTACACATTGACATCGTGAGACCGTTCTCGCTGTCCGAGGATAATCGCTACTGTTTAACAGTRATCGACCGTTTCACCCGGTGGCCAGATGCTTTCCCGATTCCAGACATCACCGCACCAACAGTAGCTAAAGCATTAATTAGCGGCTGGATATCGAGGTTCGGAATCCCCACCAACATAACGTCAGACCTAGGGCGCCAATTTGAATGCACACTTTTTCAACATTTAYTCCAATGTATCGGTGTTAAACACCTTCGAACTACGCCTTACCATCCACAAAGCAACGGGATCGTCGAACGTTGGCACAGAACTCTCAAGTCAGCCTTACTTTGTCATGACAAGCAACATTGGACAAATTTCCTACCGATAATTCTTTTGGGACTCCGCTGCGCATTCAAATCGGATATATTGGAGCATCACCGGCCGAGCTAGGTTTTGGGACGACGCTACGCTTGCCATCCGAATCCATCCATTCATCGACTCTCCTGTACCAGATAATGAGACTGAAGTTGTTGCTCAGTTGCGACAAATAATGCGCGACCTACGTCCGGTCAACACGTCTTGGCATACCACTCAGAAATCTTTTGTGCACACAGATTTAAAAACGTGCGACCAGATTTTCATCCGCGACTTGTCGGTACGACCATCATTATCAACTCCTAACAAAGGGCTTTACAAGGTTATTCATCGCTATCAAAAATACTTTACCGTCGACATTAACGATAAAGCAGTCAACATTCCTATCGACCGTTTGAAACCTGCTTACACCGTCGCAGATCCCAACTAGGAGTTGAGTACTGTGGCAGCACCGCCACTCATTTCGGAGGTAATTATAATTGTATTAAGCATGGTAACTCTACCTGCTACTTTGACATTTCGCTATATATGATTTTCTTTTCCTTTTATGTCAAATAAAATGCGAAGATCGCTCTCTTTCGTTTTGGAAATTCGTCGTAGAAGGACGCGCCCACACGAACGCTCAACATACATGTAAGTTTCATTAAAAGATTTTTATAATTTAATTTTTTTTCAACAACCTTAAATTTTTTTAGGTTCAATCTCCATGAAATAGTTATAAAAAAATGTTTAGTGGTCAAACAGTATATATCCCTTGTGGGGATCTTCTATATTTCCGTCAACATTTCGGGCGTATTTTTGATGAAGGAATGAAAAGAATTATACATCACATTAATTTTTTTTTTTTTTAATTTTAAGGGGTTACATAGGCTAACGAATTTCAAAAAATCTATTTTTTTTTTATTGTCGTGTTAAATTCTATAATAACGTCATTAGTTTGAAAATTTGATAAATTGGTGGCGGTTTAAAATAAAAAGGGATTCTTCGACCATGTTTTCAAACTAAGCAAGTGTATGAGAAATTGGAAAAAATTTATAGAAAGCTCAGATGTTATCATGGCGACCTGTTTGTGAATTAGTAACTATTACATATTCGAAAAGCTCATTTGTAATCACAGCGAGATATTTGTGAATCGGTAACAGTTTACAGATCTGAATATCTCACAATTTCGTCAGAATCAGGTCAAAGTCAACGCCGCACAGTGTGAGATTTAGTCAATCTAGCATCTCAAAATTAATTTTAATATGAAGTTGTAGAGACATAAGCTTGAAATTTGGCACGATCGTTAAAGAGATTATAAGCTTCCCGTTCCCACGACAGTCGGGTCTACGAAAACCGGAGCGGACCCGGATTTTTATCCAGCCAAGGACTGTCAACTGTGCAGAATTCTGCCGTTACAACAACAACAACAACAGATTATAAGCTTCAATATGGTGAAAGACAACTACTTTCAACTAGTGTCAAAGGGGACTAGTTCCGAACTATTCTCAAAAACACTAGTTGGGGACAATTTTTTTTACACATTTATATTCAAAATTTCTTCTTTTTTTCTCTTCTAACTAAAACTTGTCGATATATTGATAWAAGCATCCACATACAACCATTTCTATAAAATTCTTCAAGTTTCGAACTTTAGTTTTCGATGATTCTTTG